CATTCCAAATTGGCTACCGAAAAAGGACCTCTAAGCCGATTGGGTCAATGAACTGTGTTTGGGGATCAGAGACAAGACAAGACACAAATGCGGTTAATGTTGTAATAGGTGGGGTTTTGTAAGTTAACTAACTAAGTTTAGGTAAAGAAATGTGAATAATTAAGTTAGAATATGAATAAATTAAATAGTTTTGAATTTTATAAAGTCCTATTTAAAATATTTTTCATTAAGATTAAGGTTTGGCTGACCTGTTTTGAAGAAAACAAAATAAATAAGTCTCCTAAATAATACTGATATATATAAATACATCAATTATATCTTAAAATATTATAAAATCCCTTTCATTTCTCCTTTTAAAACCCACAATATGCTCCTGTAAATTTCCCCCTTACTGTATCTGCATCTTATGCTTATTAGAAATATGTTTTTGTCACTGCCTCGAAGGCATTTAATTAAGCTTAGCAACCGACAACCACGGGGGCCAAGAAACTTGGATAGAAATACATATACAAAAGCCAGCACAAACATAATTATTCATTTTCATTGCGCACTTTGGAGGCACTTGAGCAAATTTTGTGCAATTTGCACCACGCAAAAGTGCAGAAATTGAAATAAATGGTTGATAAGCAAAAGGGGTTGAGCAGACAGAGAGAGAGTGCTACAAATGGAGTGGAGTTGTGTGCTTGCAGCAGCCACTGCAGCAACGGTGTCTGCAACATGTTGCCATGACAATGACTGTCGACGTTTGGCGCCGTCTGGCAAAAACATACACATATACACACACCCGTGGATCAACTATATAGTATAGTATAAGTACAAACGCAGACAGACATACCACAATGCATATCAAATGCTTAAATGACAACAGCAACATCTCCGCCTCCGGCAGCAAAAGCATCAGCAATTGCACAGAAAAAAAAAATATTAAAAATATAGAAAAGGTTACTTTAATAGTAAACAGGTATATCGAAGTTATAATTATCGAAATATATCGAATTTAACGTAAAGTATTGTTATTAATCGGTAAATATTCGATAATTACTTATATAAATTTTATTTATACCACTTTATCGATAATAGTTAATCAATATATGAAGCAGAATAACCATTGAATGCCACAATATCGATTTATACATAAATTTTTGCCTTAAGTATCGAAGAAGTATCGATAGATTGATATTACTTCCCAGCCCTCTTTCATAAAAACCATTAAACATTGACCCTTGACATACAGAAAACACTAAAATTTTAGTTTCCTTTCCCTTTTCAGTATTTCTATTACAAAATTTACCCAAATTTCCTCTCTCTGCATTAGCCACATCAACGTGTGACAAAGCTCGGGGGGCCAAAAGCGGGTAATGTGGCGGGAAGGCAGCCCCGAAAGACAGTTACAATAAATGTCATGTTTAAGGCAGTCAAGCGACGTACATCAGTCCTCGAGAAGAAGGGACTGGATGGAACTGCCTGCCCAGGCAGTAGAATCAGCATCAACAGCAGCAGCAGCAGCAGCATCAGCCAAACTCCATCAGCAACATCCGCGCTCAATGGCAACAACTTTGGCAAACATGGCCCGAAGCAATGCCACCACTCGTACCTGAGTGGGCGTAGACAAGTCTGAGACGTAGAGAACTTGTGCATAAATTTACTGGCTTTAATAAAAATTTAAATCCGCATGGAATTTGTACTGCAATGTCCCGACTATATAGTGTTTGTTGTAGCATATGCCACACTTTTTTTATATTTTTATTGCTGCTCCTTTGAGCACGGCTTTTGTAGACTGCATAAATTTTTGGGCCTGTCCAGTGGCGCCCCATCAACTGAATTTTTTTGTTCACCATTCCAGTGGAATTTTCAGTTCAAAAAAAATTCGCTGACACTTGCAAAGAACGAACTGAAAACACTTTGGAGGCAGAGAATGTGCAGCCATCAATCTGTGGAAGTGTCGCCCCTTCAGAGTTCAGAAAAAATATAAATTGAAAGGAAATTAAGGAAACGAAACTTAGGATACTCTTTAATAAATATTTTCTAGATATCTTTTAAAAATATTATAAATGGTTTCCCATAAAGCAATAGTATCCATTATGTCCCAAGACTTCCTTTCAATCGAAAAACTATCTTCTAAAGAGTGTCAGCAAAAGCGGAAATCAAAAACCAATGAGAGTGCCTGACGTTCTTCTACTTTTACTTCTGACTTTGACAACAAACTCGGGAAAATTTCCGCCAACGAGTGCCAAAGGAAATGCCCTGTAATGTCAGTTGAAAATTGCGAGAAAATAATAAAAATAAATAAAGAATTATCTCAAAGGTTTAGAGGAACATTTATTTATTTCTATTCAAAATTGAAATTTCAGACTGCGATTGCAGACACAGACACAGGAATACAGACACCAACATGTGGCGTTTTGCTCATCAATCATTTATATAAAAAAACTTATTTTCTTGCTTAAAGTTTGCTCTGCAAAAGAATTCGCTTCGCCCGAAAGACAAAGATTGATTGGCATATAAAAACGGCACCCAAAATATAAGAAAACAGAGCAGATCTCTCAACTGAATCATTGGACACACCCCTTTGAATATAATATTAACAAGAAAATAAAAAAGGATTAAGGAAGAGATGAAACAATTAGCAGATGTGCGGACTGAGTCCGAATTGAAGTTCAATCCCCGGCGTTCTGTTAATCATAATTATGGTGCTCGTCTCTCTGCCTCTTTTTTTAGCATTTATTTTTTGACACAAATCCCTTGACGGCCGAAATGTCGACAGCTGATTGGAAGATAAGATGAGGGGGTTAGGGTTTGGGTTAACCCTCTCGAGTCTATGATATGCTGATTAAAAAATCAACCAAGCCAAAGGCAACAACCCTTTCGGGACTCATTGCTCAAATTGCTTGATGATTAACAAGTTGACTTGTGTTAATTATGACGAACAGAGAGAATCCAACCGGTTTTTCTTTCGATTTGATCCGCCTTGTTTGGCTTTGGGCTTAGGGAAAGCCTTGGGGCAAACAACCAGAGGAGCCAGAGGATAGTCCAATCGAAAAACTTTGAAAACTTTTCTTGCCTGCATTTTTCGTCTTCAGTTGTTCCAGTTCTTTAAGCCAACAAATCCTAGACAGAAAAGAATTTAATACGCCAACGCGTTGCCTTGGTTTTAGGTTTGAGGTTTCGGGTTCGAGTTTGGGTTCTCTGGATTCTCAATTCTGGGGTTGCATGGCATTTTGAATGGCATTAAATATTTATAAATTCAATACGAAATGCAATTCGGAATGCATGCCAAAAAGGAGCAGCACAAATGCTGGCAACAACAACAAACAGATTGAATTGTAAAGTTTTTAAAAGCAATTCGCTTGCCAGACAATGCTTTCTCACTCACACTCTCAGGCTTTTTCTCCTTGGGGGAGCAGCTGCAGCTACAGATAGAGATACAGATACATATACAGAGATACCAGCTACAATTTTGGCCACACGCAAAACATATTCAAAGTCCTGGGAGACAGGTGAGAAGGGCAGAGACAGTGCCTGCGAAAATCCCTCTCCCTTTCCGTCTGATACTTATGAAATATTCAGGGGCGCACTCCAAGGATTTCTGCATCTCTTGGATGCGAGTGCGTTATGATTTCATGAGTTCTGCTGACCAGAGAAGAGATCCGCCGCTCGACTCCACACAAAACCACAAAACGGAGAGCAGTTCGCCTTGGAGGAGGCTCGCTAATTGCCACTTGAAAACAATCCCCCGAAGCCCGAATAGTCGGGTTCAGACTGCGGCTTCAAAAGGGGTTTACACTCGGTTCATTTGGTTTGCTCGGTTCAATACACTCGCCGCCACAGCCACAGCCACAGATTCAGCTTCAACCGCAAACCCAATCATATCAATCGAAGCAACATTACACAAAGGAGCCTATATATAATCCATAACAATTGTGCAGTTTGAAGGGCTTAAGTAGGCATCCTCCTTCCTTCGAAATGCACAGAAAATAATGAGTGTATTTCTAGGAATTTTTCTAGAAATAGTTAGGGTTTATAAACAAGACTCGGGAATAAATTATTTAAATACTTAACGACCTCATTTTGTAATAGATTTATTGTTTGATATTTATTTTCAAGTGCTTTTCTTTTTTCAGTGAAAATCATTTTACACTTGAGCCCTCAATGATACCCCCTTTCTTATACTCAACACCCACGCCCCTGAAATTGCCTGCGTTGGCATTACACCAAGTGTAAACAGAAATCCAAAACAATTCCAAAGGGGATATATAAAATAAAGTAAAAAGAAAATAAGAGGAAAAATAAAAACGATTGAATGAGAGGCGGCAAGATTGAAAGATAAGCAGGCAGACCAAAGACTTTTTCCTCTTGATTGGCTTCCAATGCACTCATTCACAATCGATGATCCCAATACACCGAAAGAAATGAATAGGTAAGTTCATTTTAGACTTAAAAATAATTTAATTAATTTTAAATAAGATTAAGCAAAATTTGTTAATAAGAAAAAGCTAACCAAAACTCTTATTAATAATATCTTGACTATTTTATTTTGATTAAATATTTTTCACATCTGTCAAAAACTCTTATAAAGAAAACCTGACCTGTTTTCCCACTTCTCAGCTTATTTTCCTAGCTAAAACTGCTGCCTCTCATGTGACTGAAAAAACAGCTTAGACAATGAATATTTGTATTTTTCTTAGCTGCATTTTTAGATCGCTTCTTCCCAAGAATTCTAGCTCAGCCAGCCAGCCTCCAGAGCAGACCAGCTGGAAATTATCTAATCCAGTAAACAGTCCCTCCCCCATCTCCTCCCTCCTCCTAAGGCATATCCAATTGCAAGTTTGCCAAGTCAGGCAGATTTTTGTTTGTGTTTCCTTCCAAGAAAGCAAAGTCAGGCACAAACTTAGCGGTTTCTCAATGAGTGAATACTAATAAGCGGAGTAGCAGTGAATGAACATATATATATGCAAAGATATATATATATTCAAAGATATTTATTCATGGACATAACTCACCTTGACTTGATAAGAATTCAAACGAGTCTTTGGCAGCAAATTGAACGACGTAAAGTCCAGGCGACGTGAAAAGATCCCATTGCAGCCAGATGTGGAGCTAAAAGTAAAATAGACAGACAAGAAAAAATATATAAGTAAATATATCATAGAAAAAGATAGATAAGCGCAATATAAATACGAATGCGAATTCCATCTCACTCTAAATAAAAATGTAAATTCGATGACAGCTTGGAAATTGCATATGACAAGCGAGCGGAAATTCCTTGGAGCTCGAATTCAAGCCGGATGGCTTTGGTGATAAGGATTTCCCCACTCTAAAGTATAAATTGGCTCTAAGCCACGTAACATTTCGCCAGGGAGCTCTGACTAATCGAATATATAAACACGAGTAAAAATATGCATTATTATTACGTGACTTTTTAGTTTTATTTCGATAACAGAAACAGTGCACGCTCAATATAATGAGACAAGGTCTTCAACTAAAAATATTTTAGTTTCAAATTTATTTAAAGTCAAATTAATTTTTACTTAGAAATCATTGAAAAAGCAAAAGTAAACGCTATAATTCCCAAGAGGTTCAAGCTGTATACAGCTGGAAACTATTTAAAAAGTACATTAAAATGTAAAATTTAGTTTATTTTTAATATTTTAAAATATATTTTCATGCCATTTCCTTTGTTTACTTTTTGAATGTTTACCCACAATTTCTTTTTTCTTTTTCATAATCCATTTTCACAATCTCTCTGACGTCATTGCCCACATAAAGTAAAACGAAATTTGTTTAAATATCTTAAGAGCTTACGAACGAAAGCCAACGTACAAAATTATAAAATTAAAACAAATAAAATTTAATTTAATTCCGTCAAGCTGAGTTGCTTTATTTGTTGTTGTTTTTTTTCGGCACGGGGTGCTGAGAATTTTTGGTATTCTTTTTTTTTTTTTTTTTTCTTGCTGCTTGTTACTGCCTACAGCCAAAGCAAATAAAGTTATCAACAATGCTCAATATAAAACAAAAACAAGAAAGGAAGCTAACTTCGGCACGCCGAAGTTTGTATACCCTTGCAGATTGGTTTTGAGGTTTATATTATAGATTTAAATGCTGAAAACACTCACAAAACAGAGTTTCATTACATGTTACCTATACTTATTATGTTTAAAGTTTGACAGTTACAGTTTTACATTTTCTCTACATCTACCGATCGGTTTATATGGCAGCTATATGATATAGTTGTCCGATTTTTATGAAATTTATACCATAATTCTAGAATAATAAAAAAAGCTTATATCTCAGAGTAGATAAACATACGTTGAAAAACAACGAAGCTATAATTTTTTTTCCTATTTATTTCTCGACCGTTCCTATGGCAGCTATATCATATAGTCGTCCGATTTTCATAAAATTTTTACCAAAATTCTGAAATAATATAAAACGGCCATATCTAAAAAATGGTGCAAAAATGTTGAAAAACAGCAAAGGTATAATTTTTTTTCGAAAAATATATCGAACATTTGTATGGCAGCTATATGATATAGTCGTCCGATCCGGCCCGTTCCGACATATATAGCAGTGAGAGCATATAGAAGACTATATGCAAAGTTTCATTCAGATAGCTTTAAAACTGAGGGACTAGTTTGCGTAGAAACAGACAGACAGACAGACGGACAGACGGACAGACAGACAGACGGACAGACGGACAGACAGACAGACGGACAGACGGACATGGCTAGATCGACTCGGCTGTTGATGCTGATCAAGAATATATATACTTTATAGGGTCGGAAATGTCTCCTTCACTGCGTTGCAAACTTCTGACTGAAATTATAATACCCTGCAAGGGTATAAAAAATACAAGAAAAAAATAAAAACAACAACGAAAAATATTAAGAAAACGAAAACGAAAGCAAACAGAAAATGTGCAAAAACGGCAATAAGAAAGAGAGTGAGAGAAGAAACTTCAAGAGACAAAACAGTCGAATTTATTTGTTGTCTCGGTCTCAGCTGACCTTGACATTGAATAGATTTTGTTTTGTGTTTCAGAGTCTCTCTTTTTTTTTTTTTGTCCAGCTTTTATTAGCATTTATTTTAATTTTAATTTTATTTCCACAACGCTCTCCCTGGCTCTTATCAACCCCGCAGGGGGGAGTGAGTGAGTGGGAGTGCCATTGGCTCATGTGTGGAATTTCAACTTATCTGCTTGAGTTTCGAATTATAAAAAAAGCAAGAAAAACCTTATCTGGTTGTGGGACTTGAACTCACTTTTTTTCTGTCATTAGAAATGCTATAACAATACGTTGTTTATTTACACCTTGGCTTCGATTATATAACGTAAACAAAGCAGACTGAATGTCTCGTCATAGCAGCTTTGTTCCCTTTTTTTCTTAAAATTAGTCATCGGTTTTTGCTAATCACCAAAACGGGGCGAAATTTGTAATTTATTTTTTTAAAGCAGCAATTACAGGCGGCGGTAAGGAAATTCAATTTGAAAAGGTTAATTAACCAAACCGTACGTACATTCCACCCACAAAATGGCCCCTCGTAACCTCAACCCCATCAATAATAATTTCGAGATTCTGCTAATTTGGGCAATATATGAATTTTAATTCGAATTTTATATTGCCAAGCCAGCAGCAGCAGCAGCTGGCCGAGCTCTTTATTGTTTGCTTATTGATCGGATCTCGCACTCCAGATCGAGATGTGCACGGCTAATGAATTTTAATGGCCCAAATGCGTTGGCCTTTCCGCCTCTGCCACCACCACTGCCTATTATTTTGGCCGGAACACGTGCGGGGGCCTTCTTTCTCGGACCTTCTTTCGATATTATAGAACGAATGCGATCTCGATTTTAACGATCGCAAAAGTACACTACCCTTCCTTATGCGGTTCACAATGTGATACAATAAAGTCAGCCATCGTATATGGTTTGTTTATGAAAAGAAATATTGTTTTTATGCACCTATTTAATTTGGGCATCGAATTTATGGAGCACAGAGTAATTATAAATTATTATCACATCTTAGACACTCGCATTTAATCGTTTTTTAATTGAGAAACTTGGTGAATGAGATTTTTAGTTGGTCTGAGGGTCAAGAAGTTAATCGATTAAATTATTGCATTTATCGGGTTTGTATATCGTTTATACTTTTTCAATATTTTTTTTGTAAATGTTGAAATATAACTCCGATATATCGATATCCATTTATTTATTTAATGGATTTTTTCCAGCAAAATTATCGAATTTTCTTATATATTATACGCACAAATTTTAAGTATTTATATTAATTATATTTATATACAAACTTTTCTATAAAATATCGATAAAGTTAGGGTATTAAATTATAAATTTGGTGTGGCATAATGAACAAATTTGTGTATTTAACCAGACAATCGTTTCAAGATCTTTCAACTGACTCACAAGTCGGATCCGCCTCCTGTCATCTCCATCTATATAGCGTATATATGCCTGTCTGTCATAGGAACAATCGATACTCATTGGTTTAGTGGGCTGTGCCCGCTCTTCCTGTCTGGACTTGAATGGAGTTCAACTGAAGTGCAGGGCCAGCCAGCTGGATATGTCCAAAACCGAAACTGAAGCCAAAGAATCAGAAACTCAGTCCGATTCCAAGTCCGATGAATGCTGTAATTTATAGGCGGCGTCGCTTCCGTCCGACGGCTGTCAAATTGAATGGGCCGAGTTGAGTTGAGTTGAGCACCCAAGACAAAGGCGTTTCGAATTAGAATACCAAACATTATCACATGTTCCGAGCAGCTGACTCTGACCTTGAAATGGTCGGAAAAAAAAAACCACAAACGAAAAGTGTTGTCGAATTGGCTCTTTGGTAGCCAAATATTGGGGGGTTTTAAATGAGAATATATTTTCTAAATATATTTTTGTAGATTCTTCCAGAAGCAAATATAATAAATATTCAAGAATATGGTGATTCGGATATTATTTTCCACTACTTGTGAAGAGCTGATGATGGTCTAAGGTCAAGTACTAATCATTTTCGGTTTTGTTAAGATCGTTTTGGGGGAGGCCTTCGTCCAGCTGTCAGTCGAGAGATGAAATGTCGGGGACGAAGGCTAAAGTCGTGCTGCTGCTGTGTAGACTTGCGAGCGGGATGTTTCTTCCTGGCGATCTTTGAAATGTTTACGGCGGTCCTTGGCTTAATGGTGGGCGAAGGTAAGCGGAGGTAAGCTCACCTATTGGATTCGATTATGCACTTTACTTGAGAAACCCTATATCTTCCATCTGCAGGGAGTCGTCTACTTTTGATCGGTCGTTTTGCCTATATGCTGCATTTAATTGGGTCCCTTTTTCTGCTGATGAGCTGTTTCTGGGTATGTGATCTGCCTTTTTGTGACTACTCTCTGATCCCCTTGCATATCCTGCAGCAGATCGAAATCCTGGTGGTCATCTATCTGGGAGCGAATATCTTTCACCTGATCTTCTGCACTGCCTTTCTCATTGACTATGCTTTGAGTTGCCATTTTTGCGTATTCGAAGTCATCCCTTCCTGTGTGACATTAGGTGAGTATTTTTTATTTTTGAATATAATTAAATATTTAATATTAATTTAGTTTCCAGCATTTACTTCTGGATGGTGGCATTTGCCTACTTGCGACGCCTTCAATGGATGCACAATCCCGAGATCGACGACTAGGACTATAGTTTTCTCTATATTCTTCTAGACTGTATTTACATTAGCTCTATTTTCTATTTGGTTTTGGCCTTAATTTCACACTAATTTGTACATTTTTGCCTTTAATGTCAAAAGACAAAGAAAACAACAAACGAAAATTGCAGACAAAAGAGCAAAGTTCCGCAAATTGTTTGTCCAAAGAAATATTTTGTATTCGCCTGAAGGAAAATCAAATGAATTGCAGCCAATCAGAACTGCAGAGAGGGAGTGAGAGAGAGATGAAGGGGAAAACTAAACTATTTTACTTCTTGGAACCCAATCACTTCATTCCCGGGCAATTTTCAATCACGTGCTAAGTGCTGCCAGACGGAAAAGAGTCGATTTGTCTGCCGCTGCTGCCACGTTAGCATGCAACGATTGTAGCTGAGGGGGGGGAAAGCTCGGAGGAAAAACTGGAGCTGATTTGTGTGCTGCATAATTTTCCGTGCCACAAAAATGGAGGGATTGTTTAGAGAGTACAGAGGGAAGAGGCCAACGGCAACCATCAAGTGGCAAACTATTTGCCCTATCACGTACAAATTAAAAATGTGAAATGTTTCAATTTCTGTCTCTCGGTCTTCTCTGTGCTTTGGCGATTGCCACACAGCCAAAGCAAATACAACAGCAATGAGCTGTTGTTCCACTACGAGTTCAATATTGTGGATCCCCTTTACCGGCCAATTCCTCGCCACCTCTGTATAAGGCCCCCTCTTCGTCGGTCGCCATCTCCATCGGTTTATGTAAATTCATTTGCGGTGACTTTGCTTTGGCGCCCAATTAGTTTAATTTATGCAAATACAGAGCGGGCCAGTGACAGTGCGCGGCAGAGGTGTAAGGCGTAATAGATGAGAAAACAAAAAATAGATCGATAACTAGTTTAATTTCAAAATGTATATAATTGATAATGTAATTTATCAACTTGGTAATTTCTATTTTCTAGGAAAATATTTCAAGCTGCAAGTTTCAATCGAAAGGTAATCGATTTTTTCGATTAATTATCGATTATTAAAAATATTGATTATAATCATTGTCTCATTTAATTATTATGAATAAAATATAATTAATTTACAAATTACATTTTATAACAATATCTGAAACAATTTTATCGAAATAAAACAAATGTTTAAAGTAATCGATAACCATCACATTAATATTTTTTAATATTTTAATTTCTTTCCCATCAAATTTCAAGACTGACTTTATACTTATGCTCCCCACTGCTTTATATCTGCTATTCATATTTCGAGGCTGCTAAAATTAGATTTGTCTCCAAGCAGCTGTCGTATGTTGATGATTTTCGATGTTTGTCGATATTTCTCTTTGGTCAAACTTCGCTCTGCTCTACTCCAATCTCCGATCTTTGATCTGATCTCATTTCTGTTATTTCTTCGACCCTCCGTTGGTTATCTCATCTGCATTTGAATGCAAATCAGACCTCAACTCTAAGTCAGTTTCTTCTTCCGATTGTTTTGGCCTCCAAGCAAATGGCATATAACTGCGATTTGCGAATCGCAATTAATCGGTGAATTAGAAAAAAAAAAGTTCTGGGCGCCGCCGCCACTTGTCGAATTTATTTATTTTTTCGACTTTATTTCCCAGTACCTGCCCGTGCGATTCCCCAGGCTCGCTTCCAACTGTCATAGAGATTTGTATTTTCGATAATTTGATTGCGATAGCTGTTATTTCGGCTGTGATGGGGGCCACACCTCTCTCAATAAATTAGACGCTGCCCAAAATGCGCAAATAAATGCAAAAATAATAATAATAATGCCAAAAGTAAATAGACGAGAGACGTACACAGTTTTCGTGCAATAGTCTCGTCTCACGTTTTTCCCATAAACAAAACTGGCTTTGGCTGTGGTGGTGGTGGTGGTGGGCCCCCAACACCTGAAATTCAATTTTAAATATATAAAAAATAAATAAATTTGGATATATTTCTTGGTTTTGGCGTTGCTTCTGGTTATTGATTAAGTCTGGCAATCCCATACCGCCCTTCCATTCGGTCACGCCCCTTCATTTGTTTCGCCTATCATTTGATTGAACTTTTCCCAAAGCGAAATGAAATCCGAAAAAAAGAAAAACTGCAGTAGGCCAAAACAAAGACAAAGACGAGATAAATCAATGCAAATAGGAGAGTGAGTGGTCATGGCAGGGAAAATAAAAAAAAACAACACTTGAAATGGCAAAGTTGGCACCTCAAGCGACGAATCAAACTCGAAATGGGTTTCCATCTTGCACTGAACTGAAAACCAAATCAAATCGAATCAAAAATATTATACTTTCATTTCTCTTTAGCCAAATTTTCTCCTTTTTGTTCAGGCATTGGGGTGTGGTTGATTTTTCATAATTTTCCCAGGCTTACAATACCAATAAACGCACCCGAAAAAAATAAATACAAAATGAAATAATAAATAAAAACATTTAAATCGAATTTTCCTTATCGGTATTTTGGGCAGCAAGAGAAGGAGGTAATGCATTTCCATGTTGCAGACATAAAAAAAAAATTACAAAATATATGAAATGTGATAGCTGGGTATATGCAATCTCGTCTGCAATGGAAATTAGATACAGTGGCCACTGCGAAAGATAGTCGAAATAAATAAAAAGGAAGCTTTAAAATTATCTATAAGGGTAGAGATAATTTTTTAAAATTAAAAAACCCATAAAATATACAAAAAATAATATATCTTGAACTATTTTCATTAGACTTTGATCTCTATATTTTAAAATTAAGTTTTTAATTATTAAATTAACTCATTTTCTCCTATATTGACTACCAACTGTACTGCCATCTGATCTCAGCCAGAAAAAATAAAAATAAAAGTAGTAAAAAACTGACCGCATCGAGATGCAAGATCAGCAGCGGCGAGTGCATATTGATTAATGGATGCTAAATATTTAAAACATTTTCCAGACTGTGTTGTAGTTGTTTTTGTTGCTGCTGTGTAAAGCGAAACCATGAAAAGTTGCTGGCTGCTGTTATTAATTGTTGTAGTTTATGCCTTAAAACGGCAACCAGTTTAGCTGAATGACTATCGCATCTGTTCGATCTTAGTAAACGATCTCAAATTGCTGTGGAAAATGGAAACGAACTTTTAGCTTCAGTTAATTGCGCAAATTTAGCCAAGAGGCTCTGATTTAATCCATGGAAATAGCAAATGTTAATCATGTGGCTTGTGGGTTGTGTCTCTGTCTCTCTGGCACAAAAAGACAAACAGACAGACAGACGAACAAAACTCATTTCTTGCCACACATTCGCCGCCTTTGTTCCAAGTACGAAGCGGGCAAATTAATTAATAAAAAATACAAAGCGCGGGGGTAAAAGTAATGGAGAAAAAATGAAACAAATCGAAATAAGCATAAACAATGCTGAGCTAATTAAAGCAGCAGCAACACAGCCCAGCAGCAACAACAAATGCCAAGCCAGTCCGACCCACATCTAAATAAATGTTGAAAAATTAACAGAAAAAGGGGTATGCTCGATTATGGAAATACTTTTTAGTTGGAGTTTATAAATAAAACTATTTTTTGGGTGAACATTTAGTTACTCAATGTATTAAATAAAATATAATTAATAACTTTAAAGGGTTTAAAATATTTTTAGTAACATCTACAAATTGGTATATAGTTTAGAAAATTTAATAAAAACTAAATAAATAATAACTACTAAAAACCTAGTCACAAATCGACTTTACAATCGTGCTTACCTCTGGTTAGCTCTCCCACTTATTATAAAATAAAAACTGTTGCACTTGAAGCGCAACGTGAAAACATAAATCATGGCAAATATAAAAAAAGTCATTTTCCGAATCGAAATCCGCGCGCAAAAGGCCAACTTTGGCTGATGGGGTAAAAGGCGGCGGAGGGGCAGACAAGCCACGCATGAACTCGAACTGAACCTGACCTGAACTTTAAGCCCAGTAGCAATTGTCGGAGGAGGGCGTGTGCCCGTGCCAGCAGCCGACAGTTGCAAATAGCGAAGGGAAATTATCTGAGTGCACAGAGAATAATTTAGAATTTATTATGAAGGATGCGAGGGATTTATTAAACATGAAACAAAAGGGATTTTGAGTTTATAAATATTGTAAAAAATAGAAAAGAATTTAAAACAATAGAAGATATATAAATAATACAAATATAAATAGAAACCCTATATATATTCGTGTGACTTTAAGTTAATAGTTTCTCCAATTTTCCTATTTTCAAAATATAAATAATATTATTTTAAGTGTCTCACAATTTATTCGTGAATGTCACTAGAGTCAAATCAGGTTGATGAGCAATTGCATGGACACTCGCTGAAAGTAAACTAGTTCTCGAGCCTAGAGTCGCCCCAGAGGAGCAGCAGCAGCCTACATTCTGGGTGCGGTCTCCTTTCCAACACGAACTCAAACTTTAAGCCAAGTTAAGAGTGCAAGGAAAAGGCTTTAATGCTTTTTCGTAGCAGCAACAGAGAGTAGAGAGTGCAAGAAACCCATAAATTAGCCAAGAGTGCGCCTGCCGCCTGCCTTTGCCTTATCCGTGTGTGTGCGACGTGGTGGTGCTCCATCTGGGTTTGTGGTCAAATAAATAGAAAATTAGCCAGACATTGGCCAGCCAAGCAGCACAAGAAACGTACAAATAATGTGCTGGATGTTGCTGCAGCATAAAAGAGAGCAATAACAGGGCAAATAACACAACCAAAAACAACAACAACCTCGCACATTACCCAGCCAACCATTTCAATCGCGGAAGAGTCGCCTGCGACTCTTCTAGAAGATTAATTTGATCGCCTGCGACATCGCATTCTGATCGCTTTCCAATCTTCTGTTGGGAGAAAGTGTACCTACGAATGCGACTCTTCTAAGGGAGTCGCGGGGGGCTCTTCTGAAGGAGTCCCAGAGGAGTCTTATGGAAGACTCGCGGAAGAGTCTTGTGGAAGAGTCGCGGAAGAGTCTTGTGGAAGAGTCGCTGAAGTGTCGCCTTAAGAGAGTATAAGAGTTTTTAATTTCTTTTTTTTTTTTGTTTTTTTAATTTTGTCATTCTTTATTTAATTTCATAATTTTTCTTCATTTCATTTTTCGACTTAACTAAGCTTAAATTTAACATATTTATTTTCTTTTCCTTCATTTTTAAGTTCTTTTTGTTTCTTATTTATTCTATCCTGCG